GAGAACGTTAAAAATACGACGCCGTTCGTCGTTTCCTAACAATGTTCACTCTTGGAAACATTAAGTTAAAATCGCGTCGAAAATGTCTTTGCCCGAGAGGTTGATGGCGGTGGACATCCCTGCTTGCCGACAGCGCTATCTAACGTTTATTTTCGATGTACATCGGACTATGAAAATTAAATTTATTTTATTGGAGAGCGTATAAAATACTGTAACGTCCATTGAGAGCTAAATAGTAGTAGTACAGAGGAAAAAAACCTTCGCGACTCCTGCCAGTGAAACTAAATTGATATTAATTTTTGTAAACGTAATGTTGCTTTCAAGTTTCGTTAATATAATATGTTGTTATACGATTAGAGTCGGAAGAGCAAAAGAGTGGCTCATTGTCAAAGTGTTGTTCTAGAACTTGTGAAACACCGGGTTCGATTCGGGGCAAGAACTCACTCTTCTCCCCCCCTCTTCCTCCTCTCCCCACTCTTCCCCCTTTTCCCACCTCTTCCCTCCTCTTCCCTCCTCTTCCCTCCTCTTCCCTCCTCTTCCCCCTCTCCTCCTCTCCCCCTCTCTTCCCCCTCTTCCTCCTCTCTCCCCTCTTGACCCTTCTCCCTCCTCTTCCCCCTTTCACCCTTCCCACCCTTCCCACTCTTCCCCCTGTTTCCCTCCTCTTCCGCCGCAGAGAGATTCGAAGATAATCCAAAGAAGGCCCAGTTTAGAAATGGGTGATATGAATGATAACTATTAGGTCTAACCGTAACGAGATGGTGTCATTTATTGAATAATATTAACAAAAATATTTGACAAAATTAATTTACATATGCCTTCATTAATAAAATGATTTAATATTATTTATTGTAACATTTATATTAACGAAATTGCGAAGATAAATGTAGAGCGATTCCCGAAAAAATCGTTTTAGTGTTTTTGAAACTGCGTAATTTGTAGCTATTTTTACATGAAAACTTACAGATTTGTGTTGCTTCATTAGAAATATTTTAACGCATTTGTGTTCATAATGCATTAAATTATAAAATTCACATGTATTCTTTTGGAGTTATAAAGAATTTTAACCCATAAATACAATAGTGTTTACAAATTGCTAGAAATGTGCATATTAACGGCATGAGAGATCTTTCAACAAAAATACATTTGTGTATTTATTGAAAAAACGAAAACATCCAAAACTGAACCTTTATCGTATTAAAGAGTGCAAATTAGCTAAATTAATAATCCATTCAAAAAGTGTGAAACAAATTGGAGCTGTTTTTGAGAAAATGGCGTTTGAGCGTTTCTGAAATTGCACAATTTTGAGCTAGTTTTTACAAAAAAATGGTTGAGTTTTCGAGAAACTATATATGGCATTATTTAAAGCAAATGTACTCATAAATATAATAATTTAAGCACTTTGCTGCTAATATAAATATTAACGACTTGTGACGCAAGTCAAACAAATTATACATTTTCGTAATTTTTGAAAAAAGAATAGAGCAACATGGCTATTTTGACATCTTATTGAGTTTATTTAGAACTATCTCTACCAAAAGTTTAAAGAAAAAATTTGAAGTCGTTTTCGAGAAAATCTTGTTTTTGTAATTTCTTTGATATTACATATTGCACGCAATATTACGCGAAAATTACTCAAATTTTCAAAAAAAAATGTACATCTTATTAATAAAAGAACCCACTATAAAGAACGAATTTTATTTCACACGAAAATCTTTGTTTTGGTGTTATTGGTTCTGCTTATGCAGCTGAAATCCAAAACCACATGGGCGCTGGATCGCTATGAAAAAGTGAAGAAGGGTTAATATATATTATTGTTATATCCACACTTCATAATGAATATTTTTAATTTCGCGATTAATTTCCTAATTTCTTCAGAATTGAAATATTCTCCTTCGCGAAAGCGAATTTTGCTTCGTGTATAAATTGGCAAGACCAATGTAAGATGTTGTAATTTAGTGGATTTTAAGGCACTATAGAATGGATAAAATATCTACGTAGACTGGGAATCGAATGCGCTACTTCACGAGTTCTAGAACAACCCTTTGACACTGAAACATTGTTTTATTCTTCCGACAGTAGTCTTATAACAACACATTTTATATTAACGAAACTTGAAAACAACATTACGTTTATAAAAGTTAACGTCAATTCAGTTTCATGGGCAGGAATCTCGGAAAAATTTTTCCCCTGTACTACTACTATTTGGATGTCAATGGACATTAAAGTATTTTATACGCTCTCTAATAATTTGTTTTTCACAGTTCGATGTACAGAACGTAGTTTCAAAAATAAACGATATATAGCGCTTTCGAAGAGCAAGGATGTCAAGTGCCTTCAACCTCTTGGGCCTAGGCATTTTCAACGCGAATCGTAATGTTTCGAAGAGTGTACATATACGTATTTCTAAATTTAACCACTGGATATATCCACTTTTTCGTTACCATGGCCCCGTAATAAGGGTTTTTCTCCCTCCTCCGTAGCGAGATAGTACAAATTATATTCATTCATTGAAAAAAGGTTTCCACAATTTGAAATTTCAATGACATGGGGTCGATGGAGAAATTACATTATTTTATTACAAGAATGAGGTGAGCAAACGTATTTCGAAAGCTCTTGGCTTGTGCATGGAAAAGTTCCGAGATTCACTCAGCGTGTGCCTTACGCCCCGCGCTCCGTCCCAGCCAGGTCACTAACATGAGGACGAAAAAGCGCGTCAGCTTCCCACGCTAGGAAAAGCATGTGGTAGGGTGAAGCGTTGGGCAAAGGGTGGAAGGGTAAGAGAGGAAGGAAAGACGATGGACGGGGATTGGGACTAGAGCGAGCGGAGAAAACAGACATGTTGCGGGGCGAGACCTACGTGGGGAAACCATAAGGGCTGTCGGTACGGTGAGCGCGAAGACGTGTAAGACTAGCTTCCCCTTCCCCATGCAAATCTAAGATAACATCTCATTTGATTGAACTTTGTATTAAAAGGGTTTTAAGTAAAGTAAATTAAGTGTAAAGATCCACAGTTAATAAGCCAGCTTAGAGAAAAGTTATCTGCTTTCATTAAATCGCACGCTCCTGAGGTAGATCTCTTCGGTGTTTCATGACCCTACCTCTCCCAGCCAATCGAGCCGGTTGCCGGGAGTGAAGAGGAGGTAAGTAAATATGAAATAGTGGCCTGAAAGCGAAGGCCCAAAAAACTTCCACACGAAGCAATGACCAATCTGTGACAGTGCACTTTGCGGAATTTTGTCCAGGCATTTGCAAAATATCATCAGTGAGTGTTCAACGTATATTAAACATTGGGGGAAACAAAATCCTGTTTTTTCCTCAGATATGACACTTTATAACCGGTAATATATTTAGAAATGACTCTGGACACGTAGTAAACATTGTTTTCTATTCAAATTTAATCCTTAAGAAATCCCGTACGAAAATAAAGCCGGCTGTTCTATGTTGTAGATTTACTGCGCGTGAAATATTCTTCACATTTAAATTGTTGAAGTATAGATTGTCAAAGGATGTAAAAAGGTTCTTTATATCATTGATAGGTCCATGTATTGTTTGACAATCACCTTTTTTAATTGTCTAAATTTTTAAAAAGAAACTGAAACTGTGCAAAATACACAATCGCTTTCGCCACCGATCTAATGACATGGTTGTGGGCCGCCGTTCACGGTTTTGAGTGTGAAGATCGAGGAAATAATGACAGCCTCCGAAACATTTGCAGTTAAAGAATTTTAAAACAGTGTTTTTTTATCCTATAAACATTTTAAATTTAAAAGAAATAAAACAGACAAAAGACCAGGTAATTTTTAAACGCCACATGGACCTATCAATGATATAAAGAACTTAGAAAGATTCATCAACTTTAAAGAAGCTTCTGAGCTAAATTCAAGTCGCCTATTTCGCCGCCCGAGTTAATCCTCCTTTCTGCGCCGGACGGCGAAAGGAGCGTAAAGAAATTGTGAGCGTGGTCAGGCGGAAGAGCAGGTGTGAGCTCGCCGCGAAAATTGAGGTATCACTGATTGCTTTTTACTTTCTTGCCCTTACTTCGTAAGAAGAGAAAGTATTGTAAACGCGTGCACCGGAAAAGATGAAATTTTCGCAAATAAGACTTATTTTCGAAAGAAAAATTGTAAAAATTGTACCACTAGTTACTGTAAATTATGTTGAAAATAAAAGTGATAAAGATATGATTTAATTTATTTTATAATAATTATTTAAATTATAAAATTAATTAAATAATTTAATTATTTAAATAATAAAACAAATATTTACTGTAAATTGAAACCTCACCCTCATTGAGTTTAAAAAGAAAACATTCCGTCGAATTTGAATACACTCAGTTTTGAAAATATTTATATTATTGAAGATTAAATGGTACATACTGTAGATTCTAACACTCCTTTACAAATTCACAGTAGTCATTTTTAAATTGGACTTATAGTTAAGGCAGGAAACAGTTTATTTTTTTTCTCAAAATGACAAAAAGGAAAGTTGAATCTTTTCCTTTTTAATCTCAACTAATTTTGCTGTGCACAAATTTGTCGATAAGTGAATACAAATTTTAGCGTAAAGACGAAATTGTGAGGAAGAAAAATGTCAAGCATGGCATGTGTGTGTTTCAGACGCAGCCCACCGTCCGTCCCCCCTGAGCTCTTCACCGCTCGCCTCTGCCAGCCCAAGATCGCGCGCGCTGCTTTGGGGAGCTTATAAACCAAGCCAGGGAGGAATGCGTGCTTGTGGACGTGCATGTACCTTGCCTTATTAGAGTTTCAGTAGATGCGAAGTAACTAGGACGAGTTACGCATACATTTGGAGAGGCGGATCACTAAAGATTGCTCGTTTATTAATACAGTCCTTCCTAATAACAGGTACCCCTCCCCTAAGTTTGGTTTAATACAATTCTATTGCATTATCGACATATCTCTTCTGAATATTTTGAAAGTGAGCGGAAGGTACCACAGTTACGCAGATCTAGATCAGAAACGTCAATTTAGAATTCGTTCACCATGAATAAGATTACGGGAAAAGTTGCTCACCCTTCTTGGCTTCGACAAAGAGAATTTGGTCAAAAGTTACCTCATTCAGTAGGACATTCAGATCGATTTTTCAAGGCGTTGTATTCAACATACTTTCCATACCATTCGTGGGACCAAGGACACATAAGATGTGCAAATCACGGCGGAATTCTCAATATTGAGTTCTCTCCGGATGGATCATATATTGTGGCAGCTTGTGAGAAGCACAGCCTCCTCTTGTTTGATCCGCTGTCGCGTAAAATGATCCGCTCTGTGAACAACGCCCATACCAATTGCGTGACAAATGTGAAGTTCGTGGATTCCCAGAACTTCGCCACAGGCAGTGACGACAGCACGGTGGCCCTTTGGGACGTGAGGAACCTCAAGACGCAGGTTCGCACTTTTCAGGGCCATTCCAACTCCGTGCAGGACATCGAGTTTTCGCCGCAAGACGGCTTGCTAGTCACCTCTGGGTTCGACGGAAGCGTTTGCACTTGGGACATAAACAGTTACGAGGAAGATTTATGCCGCAAAGTATTTTACACCTACGATCTGATGCGCATGCGGTTGACAAGCGACGCGTCCAAAATGGTGATTTCCACCGCCAGGGGCTACCTCATGATCGTCCACGACTTGGACGTGGCCGCCCTCGCCGAAGACCTGAAGGGCTTCCAGCCCGACGCGTGCCGCTTGCGCCTGCGCCAGACCGGGCCGCCGGCCACCAGCTACGCGCTCTTTTCGCGGCGCAAGCGCAACCGCGTGGAGCTCGTCACCGACTTCCCGCGCGAGGACGACTCCAGCGTCCTGTCTTCGCTGGAGCTGCACCCCGCGGGCTGCGCGGCGCTGTCGCGCGGCATCAGCGACGCCCTGGGGCTGGAGTGGACGTGCGTGCACGACATCCAGGGCCACGGGCTGGGCGGCGACGCCGGCGCGGACAGCGACGGCGAAGACGAGGTCGAGGCCATGGCCCTGGCCCAGGGCCAGCCACAAGCCGATGGCGTGGCTGGGCCGAGCGGCGCGGCGTCCGCCGGGGGGCTCCAGAGGGCCACCGGGGACCAGCAAGGGGGGCCCAGCACGCTTTCCGGCGAACGACTGGAGGAAGACATGGAAGCTTCCGGAGGCGAAGATGAATCAGAGACGGAAAGCGTTGCGAACGCCAGCATGGAGCTGTGCGTGCATTCTGATGATAGTTTGGGAGATGGAAGTTGGCTGGAAAATGCAGATGCAAGTAGCTGGGATGATTGCGGGGGGCTCGACGCAGGGCAGGTCGGAGCAGGGATGGAGGCAGGGGCTGGGATGCCGGCAATGGAAGTCGATGCGTCGGGGGATGGGCCGAGTTCATCGGTTCACTTTGCTCGTTTCCCCGGTCGTCCAAAGAGCAGTCGAGTTTATCAATACAATCCGAGGTTGACTCATTTTATCGAGGAACTAAGTGCTGGGAAATGGTATATTAAGGAATTATGCTTTTCTCCTGACGGGAGATTAATGGGTTCTCCCTTCGGATGCGGGGTGAGGCTACTTGCTTTTTCTCCCGAATGCTCGGAACTATCAGTTTGTGTTCCACGCGCAGAACCACTTCCTTTGTACGAATTGGCTACTAACATATGCCACAACAGTATAGTACTTTGCACAAGATTTTCCCCTCATCACTGCCTGTTAGTATCTGGTTGCTTTAGTGGAAACATTATATGGCACCAACCGATGATATGATTTATGATAAGGGATTTCAGTATTGTACATGCACATGCACTAGCATACGCATAGATTGTTTCTGTGTAAGAAATTATTTTGTTTTTAGAACATTATGGTGTAAAAGTTAGTATGTACTGACATGCATGGATCCAAAAGCTTTACAGGAGGAACCCGATCTAACAGTAAGTGAATGCTTTCATATTTGAGCACTGAAATATCGGCATTCTGTTGTGAACACTCGGATGTAGAGACAATCAGAATATCAGCTATGGGAGGGCCACATCATAAATTCGACTGAACTCCTTTTTTTATTGTAAACGTCCTTTCATTTCAGGAACACATTCAGCTATTAGGCTGACATCTAGTAAATTTCACAAAGTAGGGGTATTTTTTCGTCAACGTATAATTTTTTCGTCAACGTAACACTGTTTTATCTGATTGAAAACTATGAAAAATAAGACAATAATTTATATTATCAAACAACATTTTTTCTTTTTTTCAGCGCCAAGTTCAAACCAAAAAATAATTTTGAAAAAATTACCAAAAACTATTTTTATTGTCTTAGAACCCCGGAAAAGGCTCCAAAGATGAAAAGTTCCTCTCAAAACACCAATTGTGAAATTATTTCACATTTTTTCGACTGCTGGGCTGTAGTTATAAAATAAAAACAATTGTTACCAATTTCTCGCCTTTAAATCAGCTTGACTTTAAATACAGGTTGAAAATGACTGCAACATATCTGTGCTTTGATTTTAGTGTTCATTATACATTTGTGTACATTGTCATAGCATCCAGTATATTTTGACTTTGGAATGTTGTGACAAATTATCACGTTTTAAAATATTTTTTAATAATTTGTTTAAGTAGATCATACGATAAAGAAAGACGATAGTTTTTGGCTGCTTATGAGATACCAATTTTGTCGCAGGTGAAGGAGAAGTGGGAGAACATGTGGGGAAATGAAGGGAAACAGGTTGGACCCGGATCTACAAGAACTATTTTACTGTGTCTTAGAACACCTGGCCAGGCACGAGACAAGTCTCAAAACTTCCTCTCAAAACAATTGTTGCTATTTTTTTCAGATATCAGCCCAGCAGTCGAACAACTGAAATAAATTCGCAACAATTGTGTTTTGAGAGCAACTTTTGAGATTTTTTTCAAGCCTGTTCCAGAGTTCCAAGACAGTAAAAAATATTTGTTGTTCTTGTTTTCAAAATTAATTTTTCCTTTGAATTTGGCGCTTAGAAAATAAAAAAATATATTTTTCTGACAGTAAAAAGTATTTTCGATTTTTTAAACATTTTTCAGTCAGATACAATAGTTTTATGTTGACGAAAAATATAAAATAAAAAACACTGGTGTAGCTGTGTGTGTGTGTGTGTGGAGGGATGGAAGCTAGAAACCTTTCAAATATATCACTTTTATGTTAGGAGAAAAATATAACTACTCATAGGTCGTTTGGTTTAGGGGAACTTCTTACCATCTTATCCGGGGGTACGCTTTTTTCGGTTCATGATTTGAGTAAGATGAAAGAAAGTTAGTGTGTAAATATAGTAAGTGATTCTTGACCTGTTGGAATTATACTCCGTGGGGTTATTGAGTTCAGGTCAATGCAAGAAAAGCAACATTTCAGATTGCTGAGGTTTTGGTCAAATTATAATCCTAAGGTGAGGATTCTTAAACGTAAAAAATGTTTTCTCTGAGTGTAAATGGTCACTGTACTTACTCCTGTAAAATAATATTATTGTAGCCCTGATGAAGGCCGAATAAATGGCTGAAACTGTGATGGCTGTGAAATGGCAATGTAAAATGATGTTTTCTATTGTCATCGTGTTCCCAAGCGACTTGTGCACACGTTATCGTGTGTGCAAACAACAAATTCCATTTGGATAAGAAGAATAGAAATCAAAAGAATTAGGGAATATATATATATACACATACTGGTTTACTTATTTTTTAAAAGAGCAAATTAACTGGTGTCAAAATTACTTATTTCAATGGAATAAAAATAACTATAAGAATAATTGATACTTATTTTGTGATATATGCCTGGTATATTGCTTTCAAAACTGCTAGCGAAAGAATGACAGGGCAGCCACATGACACTTTTTTTAAATTTTGAATTTTCATATATCCTATTCATTCTACTACTAAAACGCACAAAACATCCCTGATGTACAGACTTCATGTTGAGAATTATTTTGAGGTTTAGCTTAACTAGGATAAAATCTTGACCCAAGCTCTTTGAAAAGCCCCTGAATTTACAGTAGATATTAATAAAAACTGTACTTAACAAAATCATTATGTAAAGTACTTATAGTCCAGAAATTAATATTTGGTGAAATTAATAGTTATTCTTATGATACATTCACAATGAAGTCAACTTAAATGACAATAGCTTAAAGTATTATTTTCCTAGACGTACACATAATGTTATTACACAAAGTTTAGAATCGTTCAATGACCAACTACAACTTTGGAATAATTTAATTTTATAATGACATGCAGTAATTGATCTAGTAATAGCTATTGTTTTCATGTACGTACATTTTAGAACTATTTAGTCAACGTATAGTCAGATAATCCAACATCATTATTAATTATAGTCAATGACGGCTTGTAGGGTAGTGCCAGTGTGCCATGGCACGACCAACAATTTTTTCTTCAATTTTTGCTCGGTTTGTGCGGTGCTCTTTCAATACTCTCTTCAAACGACAGGACGTTGTGCTGTCGGTCCCGTCCTGAACCTCTGAACCACCGACTACGTTCATTTAAGGCTGTATGAAGAACGCGGGTAGGTTTCTATGCATTTCTTATGGATGCGACAGTGCCACTTTCCTACTGGCACAGAAGTTCAGGTTGTCCTCCATACAGTGCACGAATGTCCCTGTCGCGCAGAGTATCGCTCGCTCAAGATGACCCTGATGCTCTGATATTTCGAACGTCTTTCCGTGTGTTTCGCAAATGGATAGGCGGCGTATGCCATGGGCGTAAGGCTTCCCCTCTTCTTCCCCTACTCTTCTTCAGCGAACTCCTTAGTTCCAGAACTCCTAGCAGTGACCTCTTGAGATTACTGTGGGCACTCAGTCGTTCAGGCTGAGTATTTTATTTGTTCTTACTATTTTTTTGTTTGTTTCAGTTAAATCTTTATTATAACTTAATAAACATGGTCACTGTAAAATTAAATTTCATTGCTCATGCAGGAATTTCAATTTAGAAATTTCTAAACCAGTTTTAAAACATAAACCATCGATGTTTAAAAACATCGATGGTTTTCATCGATGTTTTGCTAACATCAATGTTATAATTTTGTATTTCGATATTGTCTTATCGATGCCACATTACTAACTGGCACCACTAATTTAATTCCGTACCGGCCGCCACTGACTATTATACTAATTGTTCATCAATAATAGATCAACTAGATGACTGAGAACTGTAATAATATATTTGTTAGCCACATGTTTTATAACAATTTTATAGTAATTTGTAATGCTGGAATATATAATTACTTGCCATGTAAAATAAATAAACCATTTTTTAATTCCTCGCCCTTACTTCGTAAAAAGAGTTCTTGTAATCATGTGCCGGAAAACGGCAAAGTATCGACAGAACAACTCTTATTTACGGGCCCTGGAAAGTGTATACTTTTTTTTAAAAAAAGTATAGAGCATTACTTTCTGTAACACATTGTGTAATCAAAATCCACGTTTTGTGGATTCTTGATACAGAAAAATCTATTGACGGCAAATCTTCTGTCTGTGGTCAATGCTAAAGCCAAAACCGTTCAGCCGATTTTCTCACAAATTGATATTCCCTAATAGATTTAAAAGAATGCAAGGCCTTCTGATATAGAAACATATTATTTTGATTTAAGGGGTACATTACATGAAGCCTCAAAAATACATTAAAAATTTTCACAAAAATGGCTCGAAATTTTTGGATTAAATTTTGTTCTTTTATAGAGTAAAACACGCTTAAAATAATGATATAGGTCTCATTTTCGTAGAAATTGCTAATTTTTCGAAAAATGCACAAGTTTACCATATTTTTCGGAGTCTTCTCTAGATCTACGGTATTGAAGACAGATATTTTATTATTAACAAAATCTGTTCTTTAAAAATTTATCTTGAAATGTCATGTACAATGTTTCGTAAATATGATTAATTTTTCAGTAATTTTTCGAGAAATATAGGAAATTTTAGAACAATACTTTTCTAAAAAACTGTATCCAAATTTTTCTTTACATTTTCTTCTAGAATTTACTACAGGACGAAAAAAGTGTGGTGCTGGTGCCATTTTTGGCAATTTTTTTTAAATCGCAAAAAGGTAACATTGTTAATGTTCAATATTCAAGATAGAAAATTTTGTGTTTTAAGAAATCTGTTAAAAAATCAAGTATTTAAAAACGTCATGTATTTTGTTTTAAAAAAGGGAGTAGTTTTCATGTAATTCTCGTTTGAAGTGAATGAAAATTATAAAAACATTATAAAAACATTTTCGCAATAACTGCTTCCAATTTTTTTCACGGACAGAAGAAGGGTCGCTCAAATAAATGACGCATGTCTGATTTTCATTTACCTACCAGGATTTTCGCCAATTTAGAAATAATACGTGAAATTATGTGTTATTTAAGCCCAATTGTTCTTGGTAGATGATTAAACGAACTAATTGTATTTTAGTGTCAATGTGAAAACTCAAAATATAGCATTGACGTATTTTATGATCTTTGATCTGTAGAACTCTGCATTCATCGCGTATAAGGACACAATATACATTTTCAATGGCACATTATACATTGTGTCATAAAAACTAAAATATAATGTGTTCAGTGCTTCAATTGCTTTATCAGGAAATGGAAATAAATGTTTCTTTAATTTAATCGTTTGATGATTGGCAACTTTGTCGCATTACAATTTCTAAAATATATATTTTATAAACAAAATTGTATATTCTAGCTCTGAAAAGATCAATCATTTTGTTGATGAACAAGTGAATAATCATTAATAAAACATTAT